CAAGTTTTGGTACAGAAGGTAGTGAGTGACCTTTACAATTCGCCAATTACATAATGATATGGTGCAAAGATCAATATAATGCAGGTGAGTGAATAAGCAACTCGGTCAGAGAGATTTTTCCGTTGTGCGAGTAAGGTGGGACAAAAATAGGGTGGGGAAATTTTTTAGTTTGTCTATGAAAAGTACAATGGGGTTGTGAGACATCAAGGGTGAGAAAGAAAAGATTACTAGTTTGGAAGGATGAATATTTGAAGATGAGACAATATATTTAGTAATAATGTGCAGTGGAATCCAGGATGCACATTTCATCCTATTTCGGACTCGTCAGCTGGATGTACCTGCTTCACAGTGAGTCATCTTGTTCCCACCGGGACTCGGACTCGAGAGCGACCGCTTCAAACGCCAGTGCGTTATCCACTACGCCACCGATCCCCGATAGCCGCTTCTTGTGCGACGGGTGTAGGTTTAGTGTTATTGCTTGTATTACACCGTCGTTGATTGGACCGAATTGATCAGTCTCTGTTGGCATATGGACTCATATATATATATATATATATATATATATATATATATATATATATATATATATATATATATATATATATATATATATATATATATCTTAAATAAATAATAATAATGATAACCATAAATGTACTTTTAATAACACTTGAAGTATGAGTGATAACAAAATGGATTATGTTATGGTTCATCGAATGTATATGACTCAGAAAGTAGTGTAAAATTCATGAAAATAAGTAGATCAATAAGGTGTATGTAATAGGACTAGACAATCTACCTTCTCTTCAGACATTATTTATAACTGCTTAGGTGAGTCATTAATGTTTGCCATATTAGTGGGATGTCTAACCCATCTTTTCTGATGACCGAAGAAGGATATGAGCAGATGTGCAAAGCTTTTGCAATGGTCCGCTCTTTGTGAGGGAGAAAACCCTTTTGTAGAATTTTTGTCTGTTCGAATGATATTTTATGACCTGAACGTAGGGCATGAGCCTCGATAGCAGAGCTTTTTTCAAGTTTTTCTAGATCATAGGAATTTTTGGTGGTTTTTTGGAACTTCTACAGTGTTCAAGTAGACGTGTTAGTACGTGACGTGCTGTCTCTCCAATATACGTGGCATCGCATTCACTGCAGTCTACCTTATAAACACAGTTCTGTTGTTCCAAATGAGGAATCGGATCTTTTAATTTACACAGGTGTGAGTGTAACGTATTCGTCACCTTAAAGAATACTCTGATGATGTAACTGTTAAGGATAAGTCTTATTTCCTCTGAAGTGGATGTTCGATGAGGAAGTACTATAGTACTTATCCAATCTTTATGGCTTGACTTTTTCATATTTTTATTCGATAAACTTTTTTCGATTCTCTTTAATAGTTTGTCTGGATAGTTATTTTGTCTTAAGACTTCCCGAACAAGTCGCCTGTCTGCTTGCTGAGATTCCACTTTATTTGGTATCCTTTGCGATCTCGTCAACAGATTTTTGGCAACGTTTATTTAGTTTCCAATGGATGAGCCGAATCGAAGTCAAGGTACTTGGTAGAATGTATAACTTTTCGACAGACATCAATGTCAAGTGTCCCATCACTGTTTCGTATCGCCTTGCAGTCTAGGAAAGCTAACTTTCTGAATTCTGTTTCTAGTTCACATGTGAATTTTTACAGAATTAAAACGGTTGTTTAAGGGTATTCAAAAAGACTTTCTAATCCTTGCTTTTTGGTTATGACGAAGGTGTCATCAACATACCTCCACCATATTCTTGGTTTTAAATTATGTTGGTTAAGTAGGTCTGATTCTACTTTATGCATGTATAGATTAGCCACAATGGGTGAGAGAGGTGAACCCATTGCTACCCCACTGGTTTGACTATAAAGGTCCCTCGAAAAGTAAAATAGGTTGAGGTCAGACAATCTCAGTGCATCATAGATTTCACTGATGGAAATATCACATCTGAGAGACAAAGAAGTATCTGACTCTAATAAAAATCTAACAACTTGTATGCTTTCATCAATCGGAATATTTGTATACAGAGAAATAACGTCAAAGCTAACCACTGTTTCATCATCTTCAGTCGTTGTTTGTAATAATTTATGTTTGAAGTCTAATGAATTTTTAATGGTACTTACCAAATTGTCTTGTAATGGTTTAAGGATTTTTGTGAGGTACTTTGAAAGGTTAGATGTTGGGGTGCCCAAATTTTTTTCAAACCATCCAGTCCATTGTTGGTCAGGATACCTTCAAACATCAATGTGAATTAAGTGTGATCATCATTTCTTTCTGCTTATAAGGGATTGATGTATGAACAGAAATTACACAGGTTTCTGTGAATGTAATCAGCTTCCTATTATGTCATCTGGTGACTTCTGTAAATGACTCGATAAAGCTGATGTCACACTTAAAGTCTATGTGTTTGGTTATAAAACTTTCTGGGATCATAATTTCAGAATGACCTAACAAGTTAGACAAGTGCTCAACCACATGAGTAGATAGTCACCTATTCATATAATCTATGTATCTGCTTTCACACGGACATTCATACTGACGATAGACGTTTTGACTTTTCCCGAAGTGTTGTTGGAACCGCTTCATGGCGCTAAAAAACATCAATTTTGCAGTTTTGTACATTTTTCTTATGGTTGTATCAAACCTCCATTTGATCAGATGATATACATTGTCTTCTATAAATTCACAATGAATTACCCTACTAAATTTCTGGCGGACTTGTTGATGAATCTATCACGATATCCAATTTTTTTGAAAGAACTTCTTTGAGTCTTTTTTTTCATAATCGCCCATGATGTCAAAACAATTTTTCTAAGCTCTACTAAACAGAGTTCGAACTAGACTCTCCTTTAGCAGTGGATGAGTACAAAACTCGTTAAATGGGCGAATACTGTCCTGCTCGTGGTGGTTTTCTAAAGGAGAAATCTTAAAACCTGGTTGTATTACCTTCTTCATTATGTCAATGAAAATAGAGAATTTCTCAAAAGATATTTGTATATTACCTTGACTAAGTCAGTCATCCATCACTATTTAAATGACGTATTTAGACATGAGTCACCCACATGGGTGCCTATGCGTTTCAATTGTTGCATCATTGCGCATAAAAGTATATCCCCGATCCAATACAAAAGAAATCTAGATAGAAATCTGTTTGATAGAACTTAGAAAATATTCTGGCAGCACAATGAAATATAAGGTTTGCTCATACGAGGAGATGACCAATCACAGAAAATAAAGTTTTAATTCAATTGACCAATTACGACATAACCGTCGTAAGGTAGGTTTGCAATAAATACCTTGAAGTTACAAACTATAAAACATCAAAATCGTAAGCATAGGCTAGTTTATCTCTGTCCAGGATAACTTCAAGAAGTAAACCTAGGCATTTGTGAAAATATAGGTGAAAATTTTAATTATACTACAGCTCGAAGCAAAACCATTCGAATAGCACAGATTAGTGATTTACTGACAACATATGCAATGCCGTTCGGGAGTTTGTCAGGACCACTGGGTTCCGACCCAGTGGCTCATTGGTAACGTGCTGGCCAAGGGACATGAAAATCCTGGGTTTGATCCCTGGCGGGGTCATCAGCGCACAAGGCTGAAGAGTCGCATACTAGGACGAAACAGCCGTCTAGTTCTCCGTGGTTTCAAATGTTTCTCCAACTGATGTCACTCTATGATGAATATCAAATTGAAAAATATACAATGGTGTTCCAATTTAACTTGAATCAATAAATTTAACTACACAGCTGCAGCTCATTGGTTTACGGGTAGTGGATTCGAGCCCTGTTTTTCCTATCGAGGTTCGAACAGCCGTCATTACCTACTGTATGAATATGAACAAAGTTGCCAAGTACATTTCCATTACCACTAAATTTTACAGCGATCAATGAATAACTGTCAACTCATTTCTGCACTATACGTTGGCGTACTATTCACTAATTACTTGAGTCTTTTTCAACTCATAATCAGTACATAATCTGCACAGTAATGGCTGAAATTTCACAAACACCTTAATTCACCTTGAGATTTTATCTGTAGAATTCACATAATATGCTCACCTATCTTTGGGAAATTAGTACACGCAACCCTTTCTCAATGAATCAGTTAGTTGACTCATTTTGATTGCTAATAAAATAACTTGTTGCTTCATAGCCAAGTGAGTCCACTATTGATGAAGGAAGGTATAGGAAAAGATAACTATTCATTATCAAAAATTTATTCCAAAAAAAAGTTGAAGATGATAAGCAGGAGAAGAAAACAGAAAACAAAAAATTATCATCAATAGTCAGTCGTCTTGCATCCATCCATTCAAAACAGAAACAAATAAAGAGAGTATATAACACACTTTGCATTAGAATATGAACAATAGTACAAATAATCAAATGAGAATAATGAAAACAGAAAGAAAGACACCACCAACAGAGGGAACAAGGAGATGTAGAACACAAAATATAAGGAAAAAAAACACGTTTATGATATACCGAGTCACACACACACACACATAGACAAACATTTACAGATACAGTAGACGCGACAAAATTCACCGTAAGAATTCAACGTTAAAGTATTCACATTAAATGAAAGACTCATCATTCACAAATACACATATATGGTCAGTATAACATGAAAGCATAAAATATAAATTGATGAAAGACATAAGGTTAACTAAATTATCCTAGTTCTACATTCACTTCTTTCTCCCAATAGACAACTGATAATGATGATGATGATGATAATAATAATAACAATAATATACAATGGAATAGATATCTTTTGAGAAAATATCAAAGTTGTTTCTTATTTCCCATTGTTTTCCAATCCTCCCTTTCCAAAGTTTATTTGATTATGAAGGCCAAATATCTGAACAATCATCTACAAATTTATGCAGCTGAGGTGTAAGCGTTTGTAAATGATCAATATAAAACAGCATTTCTGAGTCTACTAAGCTAAAGAAAAATCATAAAAGAAAGAGAAAAAAGGAAAGTGTACTTAACTAACTGGTAATATGAAAAAGTAAACAAATATGATCAATCTTTATAATTTTTTTTGGGAGGGTGGCGGGGGTGTGGAGATTTGGAAATATTTCAAGTTGTTATTCATCGTAGACTAACATCAGTTGGAGGAAGAAAGTAAACCTGGGAGCTGGACAGTTATTTCGTCTTAGTATGGGACTCCGCAGCAGTGAGCACCCACGACCCCACCAGAGATCGAACCCACCCATTGGTGACTAGCTTCGAGAGGCATTCCCGAAGTTCTAATGAAAAGTCGTGACCGGTGGAGGAAAGCCTGATGGTCGTGAGGACAGTTACTCAACGATGACATTGGGTGGCGCTATGTCGTGAGCTGACAGAATCTGGAAATATAGACCATTGGATTCCGACCCAGCGGCTCGTGGGTGGGTACTGCTGGGGAGTTCCATATTAGGACGAAATAGCTGTCCAGTGCTCCCAGGTCTACTTTGTTCCTCCAACTGATGTTAGTCTACGATCAATAACAACTTGAAAATTTTTTTATAAAATTATTACTGTCTTCGGTTACCGCCAAAAACGTTTATCATTAGGCTGTTGTAGAAACATATCATGTAAGACTCTAGGCTTAAAAATGATGCTTTTTCACTGTATTAACCGTAAACCTATCGAATAAATAGTATAGCCAGAGAAATGGACATTATTATCTGAAATTGTAACCCCTAGATAAACATTAGACAGCAATGCGCTGGAGTATTTGATGGAATCATCGTGTGAGTAATCTCAGGGTAAGAGGAAGAATACTTGACAAGATGAGCAAGTCACTCAATGAGACTGTGAACCTTAGTCGAATAAGATAACTTGGAAATATGTTACGAGTGCCGAAACACCATCTAAGTCGACATACCACACAAAGGGAGAGGATTCCTGATGACCAGATCATATCCCAACATCAATCGATGAAGTCTCTTACTGTTGATATCAGTCGTGTGGGTAAATGTGGACTGCCTGGTTGGGATCTTCTAAACAAAAGGAATCAGTGGTTAACGACAGTTGGTGACATGGCTGAAAATCGGTCAGAATGCCGCAGATGACATCTTCTCAAGTTTGAATACTCGCACTAATCGTTACCTCTCACACAACTTTGTTTACTTTGATATCCCTCTTTTCTATCCATCTGTTCATTGTATACTACTGTGAACTGTGACAACTGGAGCCGCTGCACTTGTGTGCGACGTTCTGCGTTGATTTTACCTATCAATACGCTATGTAGGGTACAGAAATCTACTAATTCTATAAGTGTGCAACCACACACTTCCTTAAAATCTTGGAAATTATTTGTCTTATTTCCACCTACATTTTCTCTTACTTCATCGTCATTAATCCTTTGATTCTCTACACTTTTTTTCTCTTCCATCTGTTTAAAAAGGATAGTTGTAGAATCCCGTGCACAAAATAACTGTGACAGCTTGATTCAAATATCCTTGTTTGTCAACTACCGTACTGCTTCTACTACTCTACCCGTTCATGTATCATATCCCAACTAGTTTGAAGTTCTATAGTATGATAAAAGTTTTCCAGTACTCTTTAGACATTATATTCTTCTCTTTTCCTCTTTCCTCTCTGTTTTCTTCTTCGATATGAAAGTAAAACTCATTCTATATCAATTTCCTCAAAGCAAGTATTGTATTGAAACACTTTAAGATTCAATATGTAAATAATTTCTCTGAATTTCTCATCAAAAGGAGTCTATGTCATTTCAGACGTTAGTTTTCATCCACTCTTCAGGCTGAGGAGACATAATACAAAGTATCATACCTGACTTTCAATTTAAAAGAGCTTCCAATTTTGTTAAGAAGTTAAAGGTATTTTTCATTTGTATATGGATATTTATTACTATAGGTAATTTTGTCAATGGTTTATTTCAAATAATTTCATATAATTGCTTAGTTGAATCTAACAATTTACAAGTAACCACTTCAAATAAACACAACTCTTTCTTCACATTAAACAATCGTGTTAAAAAGTTACCTCCACTTTCACATTAGCATAATTTACAGAGAATCGACACAAATACTATACAGTATTTCGAAGAAAATAACAGAAATGGAGTCAGTAACGTGTATTCATTCATATATACACGTATATAATACAATACAAAAACATAGATTTAGAAGTTTTCCATCATTTTCACATTGTCAACAATGAGGGAAAATAAGGAACTAATGGTGTATCCAAAATAATATCCCTTGCAAGCAATCGATGCCAAAGTGTACTTCATACTACGGAAAACTCAAGAAAACTGTAAGTTTGTAGGTTGAACTAAATGTCAGTGATGAGAAAACCTTGAGAATGACCAATCACATCGCAGATGATGTACTCGAAGTCATTCTTCTACGTCAGTTTACCATATTGCACACGGTGGTGATAACTTATGACGAAGATTACGTAAATATAACGGACAAACACAGCTTAAACAGCATTACAAAATCCCATTCATATTTTTTGACAAATTACAGATTCTTGACATACAGGAGTGAGATTAGAAGAAAGGATGTTTTCAGTGCAAATAGGATATATCAGGAAAATTTATCGTACCAGCTATAGAAAAATGGATATAATCGGGTACCACAATATACACAGATGTTTGGAAGCCTTACATGCTGTTATTTGCAATGAGTTACCTTCATCAAAAAGCACTTCCTTAGTCCAACAAACGGAGTACACATAAACAAGGTTAAAAATATATGCAGTCATCTTCGAATATTCTTAAGACCTTTATAAACATGGTGAAAGGATATGGTATTGTCTCATATAGATGAGTAGCAATACAGACAATGATATAGATTCAAAAATGATAAGCTTATTGAAAATCCAGACATCTTTATTCCTCGTGCAAAATATCTATAAATTGTAAATAAGGTAACGCTTTAATTAATAATAACATTCTCCTTAGCATAATCCAGGCTGACAGTTGCTAACATAACGTGATGGTCGGCCTTGCATACCACAATGGCCCAACGGGCTATTCTGGTGGAGCGCTTGTTCCCTCGAGGTCTAGAAAGGTCTGTTCGATAGTGATAAGATGAAAAAAGGTTACCACTGTAGTGTAAATTACTACACTATGATGTGATTCAAAAGAGCGAAGTCCTACTGCTGGCTGGATGAGTTGTGACATCAGTAAGTTGTCTCTCTTGCATGACCATCAGCGCCATCTTCCTTGAGTCAACTGGAGTGGGAGTTTTGAAAAGGTCGGTCTGAAAAATAACACTCCATCCTCTCCCACTGTTTTCTGCCACCGACGGCATGTGTTTTCTATGCCCAGCATTACAACAACTAAATGTCAAAACAACCCTCCAGCGAATGTCACATGGGCTCTGCAGTCACACAAATAGTTTACTCTTTCAGGTACTCTAAGAAGAAATAGATTCCCACGGTGTGCGAAGTCGGAAAGTGTCAACAACCCATACGCTTCCAGTAGTACACAAGAACAAATCAAGTATAACCTATCCTTTTCAACTCTGTCTCCTCCTTTGCCTTCACCTTCTGATACTAATATTAAGCCGCTTACACCTTATCCAAACTCTCATTCTGCAACCACTGTAAACGAACGAAGCCATCGAAACCTCATTCCTAGTCTCTTAAAACCCTGCCAATAACTTTAAATTAAGGTTTTCAACATCCAGATTGTATGGCAAGTTTGATAATAGGCCTGGTTAGCTAAAATTATGTATATTCTAGCCATGGATGTATGCTGTACCTATGAAACACGCAAACGGGACCCGAGTGTGGCTATCGAATTCCAAATTCACCTTGCAAGTATCCGGAGACACCGCTCGAATAATGCGAAGGATGGATTTTATGAAAAGTTGTCAACTTTCCTACATAAAGCAAAAGGTTCAGATATACTCTTGGCGAGATGTATGAAAATTGGTCACAATAACGCAGATGCATTCACTCCTTGATATTATTTAAAGCTTGAATATTCGCAATAACCAATATCTTTTCTCGCGTAACTTTGTCTAGTTAGATATCAGTCTCTTTCAATCCACTTGTTCTTTGTTGACTACCGTAAAATGTGATAACTTCAACCTATGCAGTTGAGCACGAGGTTCTAAGTTGATTTTGTTAATCAGTTCTTCGTATACTTCATTCTGATTGGTTAAAGCATACTTCTACCAATTTATACATTAAATAGCTTTGCATCTCTTGTATGGTGTACAGTTTTTATTAAAACAAAGAAGAGAAAAAATGAACAATAACCAAAATAGACACATATGATCTGAACAATTTCCTAGTTGGAATTCTTGAAATCAATAAAGAAGAGATTTATAGAGAAGCTAAGTAACATGATACAAGATAGATCTAAGTTTCAAGATGGATTCATATCTTATTTTCATCAACACTAACATATTTACTACCTATATTTCCCTCCTATTCTATCTAATGACAGATTACAAGTGATGACAGTATAATTCGCTTTTCTTTTAAAAATCTTTTCCTTTGTTAACTTTTAACCTTGACGTATATTAACTTGATGTATATACTTATGTCTAACTCGTAGATTATAAACATCTTGTCCTGTCTACACACATATCTCATAGCACTTAACTAATGGGTAATAATGTTAATGATGGATCGTGGCTAGCAGTGGAATCCAGGATGCACATTTCGTCCTATTTCGGACTCGTCAGCTGGATGTGCCTGCTTCCCAGTGAGTGTTGTTCCCACCAGAATTCGGACTCGGGAGCGATTGCTTCAAACGCCAGCGCGTTATCCACTACACCACCGAGCCACAATAGCCACTTCTTGTGCGACGGATATAGTTTTTAGTATAGTGGATAACGCGCAGACGTTTGAAGCGATCGCTCCTGAGTCCGAATCCCGGTGGGAACAACATCACTCACTGGGAAGCAGGTACATCGAGCTAACGAGTCCCAAATAGGACGAAATGAGCATCCTGGATTCCACTGCTAGCT